TTTTTTTAGATATTTAGCATCTGGCGATTTGATGGCATCACTTGCGATGTCATACCGTATAGGCAAAAGTACTGTTTCTGGTATAATACAAGAAACATGCGAAGCTATTTGGAAAGTTCTGCAACCTCAGGTTTTAGAACAACCTTCTCAACAAGATTGGATAAAGATTGAAGATGAATTCTTTAAAAAATGGAACTTCCCACATTGCATAGGAGCTATTGATGGGAAACACGTTGTAATACAAGTATATTTATTAGATAGTTTATTATTATATATCAATATATAAATTATTTGTGTAATTTTATATTAATTTAAAATTTGTAGGCACCACCACATGCAGGATCGACATTTTATAATTTTAAGGGCCAACACAGCATTGTACTCTTAGCGGTAGTATCAGCATCATATAAATTTTTAATGGTTGACATTGGTGCTCAAGGACGACACAATGATGGAAGAATTTTTAAAGAATCCAATATGGGACAACGATTTCACAATAAGCAGATGGATTTACCACCTCCGTGTCCATTGTCAAATTTTCGTAATATACCTATTCCGTACATGCTTGTGGGAGATGCTGCATTTCAACTTACCGAATATATGCTAAGACCATATCCTGTTAATCAATTAAATAGAAGTAGAAGAATATTTAATTACAGATTAAGCCGAGCAAGACGTATCTCAGAAAATGCATTTTCATTTCTAGTTAATATATGGAGAATTTATAGAAAACCGATTAACGCATCACTTAAAACTACTGAAAGTATAATTAAAGCAACTGTCTGTCTGCATAATTTTTTATTATCAACACGACAATACAGAGATATGGCAGATGATACATGTCGAAATGTTATACAAGAAAATACAGCCATTAGAAATGTTAGTAACATAGGAAGTAATACACATTCACAATTAGCAGCAAGTATTAGAAATGAATTTTGTGAATATTTTGTACAAGAAGGCTCTGTACCTTGGCAAGAAATGTATATTTAATTAACTCTTAACTAAAACAACAGATTATTTGGACACAATGCAAAATTTTTTGGATAACTGTATAATCCATTTAGAAGGAGAGACTAAGATTTATAGTTAAAATATGGATAAGCTTTAACACTTATCTAAAAAACAAACAAACAAAATACACAAGCGTATGGAA